AGATAATTCTTTTCCTGTCTTTCACTCATTCATTCATTCACTCATTACTTCATTCAGTAAATGTGGGTAGTAGAATACTTCTGGCAACAGCTGTGATCTGTCCAGAAGATGCGTCTGTCTGACCTTGCTCATCATAAAAGAGCCATGTAGAGTGTACGTGGTGGGGCTGGGGGGAGTGATAGGATTAACAGCCACATGAGGGTTCAGAGTTATGAGATCTTAAAACTGAAGGTGACCTTAGACATCAGTGGCAGACATTTCCACCTGGGACTCAGAACTGTGTCCTTTAATCAAGGGGAGTAAGAATCAGGCCAAAGAAGGGGATGTGGGATCTTCAGCCCCGTGAGGACCTGACATGCATAAATCAAATGGGAGGGGGACTGACCTCTTTGTCGGGCAGGATTTGTAGCAGGGAGGGGAAAGGCGTTCGAGGTTAAAGCTCTTACAGTGCATTTGCTAACCTATGCAAACAGAGGGAGAGGTGACAGAGGTGTCAGTGTTAACCGGAAACAAGAGAGTACAAATCATTATCCAAACGACTGTTAGGTGCAGCTGTGTGGGATTGCCCAGGTCTTTTATCCCGTGGAGCTGTGTCCACCTGGGAGTGTCAGGAAGGAGAAAACCACAAAGCTGTGTCCAGCTGAGGCATGCTCCGTTCGCCTTTTCCAACTTCATCTCCTGGAGAATTACAGTGATGCCTCCAGGTTCCCCTACAGGCAATGCTGTTGGCAAAGTAGTGCTATAGGGTATCTAAGCTTTCCCGTGCTCAAGACTCCTCCCAGGGCCATGGGTTCCGGGGGCTCACCTCTGCATGTGGCAGCCTCCTTAGTGGCCTCTGCTCTTGCTGGCCCACCACAGCTGCCGTGGGGCTTATGTGAGAGGCTCCCTCCCTCTGCTGCTGTTACCCACGGATGCTATGTTCTACTGCTGCTGCTCCAGCTTAGAAGGCTTCTCCTTGAACTGTTGCAGGTCTTTCATAGACCTCCAAAATGTTTGCCTCTTGCAATTTTGGAGGAGGTGCTGTTTAGAGGATGTTGGAATAAATTTCCAATAATTTATACTGGAGGGTATGGAGTGTCACACTTAAGCACTGTGTCTCTCAAGCACATTTCTGCCTCCTACAATTGCCTACCAGCTCAACAGGCACACAGAGGTCCCTTGGTGACATCTCAGCCTGCTCAGAAACACTGTCCCTACTTCCCAAGGGTTCAAGTTGGAATACAACTTGTATCTTGGGGCATGTCTCTCCCAAAGTTCTCTGTACCCCTGCATTGGTCACTCATGTCTGGCTGCTGAAGCACATAGTGTAGAAATGTCAAAGACCTCCAAGGTTTACTTCCTGCTGTTATCACAGTTCAGCCAGACATTTGGAGAACAGCCCTCCACTTGGTGGTTCAGGGGTCTGGGCCTCCTTCTTCCGGGGGTGCTACAATCCTCTAGGGCCTTCAAGTCTTCCCTGCGACATGAGGGAAAAAGGCAGAGTGGAAGACCTTGCAGGCAGTGTCAAGGGCAAGGCTTGGAAGCAGCACACACCACAACCACTCGTATCTGCAGTTGGAGGGACTGAGTTTGATGAGCATCGGGCCCATCTCTGTCTCGCCTGCTCACCCAGAAGCCCTGGGAGGCCTCATGCACGTGGGAATCTCACATTCTGGAGTTCCTTCCCTTCCCATAATACTTGTTATAGATGGATTTTTCATATTAAAATCTGTACGTATCTACATGTATATTAATCAAATCTGTTTAAAATTGTTAACCAAATGCAATACTTCCTAAACAATGCCTCATGCAGGAGAAGAGCGCTGTTCTTGGTCATTCTCAGTCCCCCTGCGTTTTCTTTGCTTACTCCCCATGCAAGCCCCTGTGTCTTGGAAGCCCCTGTGTCTTGGCGATCTTCCAGGCTGTCTCTCCAAATGCCAAGGGCACATTAGAGTCTGTCCATGGTGCAGGGGAGGCCTCAGTGCTTCAGCCTCCCACTAAAGGGTGGTCTTTACACATGCAGTGTGCAGGGCGGGTAGGCTGCTGGTGACATGCCAGTAAGAGCTGCTTTGCTGCCAGTGGCATTGCCTGCTAAGACTGGGGACTGTGCTCTAGCGTTGACAATGAATTAAGGGCTTGTTGTGCTGTGTGGGATACTTGGTCACGGCGATGCAGTCTTCTTATTGACCCCTTCTGCCATGAGAGAGGAGATGGTACTCTGCTGCTCACAGGTAGATTTGGGAGAGACTGGCAGTGTGCAAAACACTTTCCCTGGAGACCTTGCTCAATGACACTGCTTGAGGGAAGGGGACGTCTCTGTCAGTCTTGCATGGTGCCTGCACACGGCGGGTACTAAGTGGATGTAAACTGGAAGGGAGAAATGTTTCTTAGGTGCATGATGTTAGTCTGGAGTGAGGGTAAGGAGGTGAGAGAGTGTATGACACAGACATTAATGGGTCAAACGTCCTGATTTCAGACTGTGCTGTAGTGAGCACTGTCTTCAGAGGCAGGTGGATCTGGGCTCAAATGTTAACTCCGTCACTTACTTGCTGTGTGATATGGATCGTGTCCCTCAAGTTTTACTTATTATAAGCTTGATCTCCACTGTGACTGCTAAGGGGGTGAGAAATCCTATTATGGTCATTGAAAGGTGAGGCCTTGGAGAGGTGACTGGATTGTAGGACTGTGCAGTAGTGAATGGATTAATAATGGTGGTCAGGATTGTGGTTCTGAGGACTTTAAAAGAAGAGCACATGAGAGGTTAGTCTCTCTCTGCTCCACCATTTTCTGCCATGTGAGACCCCTGGGTCACTGTCACCACGACCAAGCTCTCACTAGATGGATTCCCTGGACTTTGGACTTCCCAGCCTCTGAAACTGTAAGCAATAAATTTCACTTTTTTACAAAGTACCCAGTTCCAGTTATTTCTGTTATAAGCAACAGAAACAGACTAATATACTGTGTGATCTTGAGCAAGGTTGTTAACCTTTCTGTGCCTCAGTTCCCTTCATCTGTAAAGTGAAACATAGCATCTGCTTTACGTAGGTAGGTGAGGGTTAGAGAGATAACAAATGCACACACCTGCGTACAATGTCCTCTGCAGAACAGCTTGGCGCTCACACGCTTGTGTAGAACCCACACTCCCTTGGCCCACCCAGGAGGTCACCTTCAGATAGTTGCTGTTCACACCAGTGGCGTTCCGCAGCTCTGCCTGTGGCATGCTCTGTTTGTGGGTCATGTCAGGCCCACGCATAGGAAAGGCTGGAAGTGCCAAGGAGTTAACCCCAACTGTGACCTTCAGCCAGTGAGGGACTCCTGCTTGTCACACCCCATTGTGAAAATTCTGAGATGTGCTTCACACAGTCCCTTAGAAGGTCCCCAGTGGGTTTGAGCCCAATTGCCTGTGGTGGTAACCTGTTCACAAACACATCTGTATTGGGGTCTGTCCCTTCTGTGTCACACTGTCCCACTCCCTCACCAAGCTTTCTGGGAGCATTCCCTGAGTAAACTACTCCTAAATCCTTAACTTAGGGGGAATCTGAACATGTGAAAATGGGCAATCAGTGGTAGCTGCTATTATTGTTCCTTTTCAAAGGGCATGGACATAATAATTAATACAGGGACACATGAAATACTATAGAAGAAAACAGAAAAGGATTATCACTAGCTGAAGGCATTTGAGGAGCTGCAGGAAGTAGCCGATCTGGATGTTAAAAGATGCAGAGGATTTGCACATAAGGAGATGGGTCAGAGAAGAACATTCCATGGGAGAGAACAAGATTTTGTGTCCAGTTCTTCAATGATTCTTAATAGCTGTATGTGACTCAGGTGCAGGCAAGTCAGGTGGGCCCAGGCACCATCCCATCTGGACAGAGAAATCCTCTGCTGGCCTGGCCCTGGCCTTGTGCTCTGATGGTCAGCACACTTTCCAGCTATGCTTATCAGTCCACAGGATGCAGGGGTCTGCTTTCCTTCTGCCTTGAAGGGTGTGGTCCCATGCTACGACCCTATGTTGAAATCTTAATCCCAAGGTGATAGTATTAGGAGGTTGGGCCTTTGGGAGGTGATTAGGTACGAGGACAAAGACTCATAAATGAGATTAGTACCCTTTTAAAGAGGCCTGAGAGAGCCGCTTGCCCCTTCCACCATGTGGGGATGCAGCCAGATGGTGCCATCTACAAACCAGAAAGCAGGTTCTCACCAGACGCAGAATCTACCTTGATCCTGATCTTCCGAGCCTCCAGGAGTGTGAAAAATAAATTTCTGTTTTGAATCAGCTACCCAGTTTATGGAATTTTGTTGTAGTAGCCTGAACGGATGAAGACCACCCTTAGCCTTTTATGTTTGCTAAGCCATTTGTCACGGTCTGTGGAGTCCCTACCTACCTTCCTGCACGGCTGTCCTCTGGAGCTGCCTATGTGTTTCGAATCTTCTGGGGGCACCTATGGGATTTCTCCTCACTGTTCCTCAGGGTCCTTCTAGGAGTGTCAGCTGCCTTCTCTGCTTGGGCCTGAGAGAACACCCTGGGGCTATGACCTGTGAGTCTGAGACACAGGCCAAGGCCATGTCCGTTTCATGTGTCTTACCAATGAGACTCTATCATGTGCGCCTACCCAGAGGACATACAGGTGAATGCTTTCCCGCTAAAAATGAAGGAGGAGAGAGAGAAACGATGTCATGGCACCCTCTTACCTCTAGTTAAGCGGCTAACAAGCCTTTGTGGAGGTGGAAATTACACAGGTCAAAGCCGAATTCCCCTTGGTGACGTAAGGGCAGTGTAGGAAGCTCCGCCTGCTCAGCCCCTCTCGAGGAGCTCTGTGCGAGACCGTCCTGGAGTGGATGGAGGAGGCAGGAGGAAGGAGAAAGTGATGATCCCATGTATCCTTTGCCTTCCGTAGCTCACATTACTTGGCAGCCCACTCGGAGCCTCCCGGATGAATTCAATTCTAATGTCCAGGTTGAAACTCCGGGGAGGGGAGAAATCTCACCCTGGGCTCATCACCTTTGCTTTTCTCTTGCAGAGGTTCCAAAAACAGAACAGACTTTTGAGGAGCGCTTGATACTGAAAGCTTTCTTGCTGAAGTTTGTCAATGCCTTCTCCCCCATCTTCTACGTGGCCTTTTTCAAGGGGAGGTGAGTGTAATGGTATCACGCATGGAAAGGCACTTTGTCACTGAGACTGGGTCCTCCACTGTCAGGACAAGTAGAGTCAGTCTGTCCCCACGGTCAGCTCACATCCTCAGTCCCATTCTCCACTCCATTTCCACCTGGCTGTTCATGGAGCGGGAGTGTTAGCACTACATCATTCTGAATCAGTATCTTAAGATTCTGATAACCAGGGCAACTTTACAAGGATTTGGCTCTGGGCCCTGAAGGGAGAATCTCAGAAGAATGTGCTTTTTCAATTTTGAGGACGAGGCAGGAGGGAATTCCACATCTAGCTAGTGGCTTTTGGGTCTTGCGATGCAATTCTGATGCTATCTACCTGGAGTCACACACACTTCACAGGTTAAGGGCACAGTCCTTCACAAGACAGCCCTCACCTCAGACACCAGCCACAAGTGCTGGGGTTTTCAAGCCACTTGCAGTTCTGACCCACTGGCTATAAATCCTGGGATTCCCACTACCCCCTCAGGTTCAGTAATTTGCTAAAACAACTCGCAGAGCTTAGAAATGTGCTGTACTTAACAGTTGCAGCTTTATAATAGCAAAGGGGCATGCATCCAAGCCAGCAAACAGGAGAAGCACAGATGGGGAGGTCCAGGAGGTCCAGGAAGTCCTAGTCATGGAGATTTTGTGTCCTCTGGGCATGTCACTCTCCTGGAACAGCCATGTGTATCACCAACCAGCTCGCTCACTGAAGCCTCTGTGTCCAGAGCTTTCACTGCGGTTCATTAACTACTTAGGCATGATGGATTGAATCATTTGCCATGGGACTGAACTCCTCTCTAGTCCCCCCCCTTTTCCCTGAGGTCAGGCTGCTATCAGGGGCCTCAGAGTCCCAACCAACATGGTTGGTCTTTCTGGCATGGCCTGCCACCATCCTGAGTAATCTCATTAGCATAAATTTAGGTATAATCCCAGGGGCCCACCATGAATAACAAAGACATCACTGCAAATTCTAAAGATTTAGAGGCTTCTCTGAGGAACCAGGAATAAGGGCCAATGAAATTCTTCATTGCGGTAGGTCTGGATGTAAAATCACTTCGATAAATATTTTTTTTTTGTCCTTTTTTTTGAGACTGGCTGGACCGCGCTCAGCCAGTGAGCGCACCGGTCATCCCTATATAGGATCTGAACCCGCAGCAGGAGCGCTGCTGCGCTCCCAGCGCTGCACTCTCCCGAGTGCGCCACGGGCTCGGCCCCGATAAATATTTTTTGTGATCAGGCCAGTTAGCTACCTACTTTCCCAGTAGAAATCAACCAACAATATCAGGAAAGCTTCCCTAAAACTAAAAGCTCCTTAGGCAGGCATGGATAGCGAGAACTGCCATCATCCACGTTTGATAATTCCTTATAGACGTGTTTGTGACCCAAACCACAACCCCTTCCCCAGGACCTGTGCCGTTTGCTGTCTTGAAATTTTAGTAGCAGAGAGACTGTCCATATTAATGAGTATATTCTTCTTTGGTGCTTTCTATTTAGATTTAATTGCAATAGCAAATTACATACATAAGATAGTTTGGGCCCCCCCAAAAGTGTCCTAACCCTTAGATAAACCTGCAGTATACTGGAGGAGATAGTCTTAAAAGCAGCACATGATAATCTGCAGTAAGTGGTAGAAAGGAGGTGTGAAGTGTTGGGGGACCAACCACAAACAGAGACATCAAGAAGGCTTCAGAGAAGAAGAGTTAAGTTGAACCTTAAATGGATGAATAGGGTTTCAGCCGGTGGACAAGAGGGTGACATTTCACGTGAGCGGGATTCTTCTGACTATAGCGCTGGTGCCCTAATTCACTTTCACCTCTCTGTTTCTCCCCCGTCTATCTTATTATCCCCAGTAAAATAGACTGTCCTTAGAAGAGGAGTGCGGCAGGCTGCTTCTATTCCTTGAACATTTTCAGTAAGAAGTCAAGACTCTTCTTTTCCAATCCCAGGAATCTTCACTTGCAACTTTGGTCCATCTCACCCTTCATTTCTTGGGAATCAGAAGCCCCCACTAGGGACTACAACAGAACTCAGTTCTTGACCCTAGTTGAGGGAAAAAGGTGCACAGACTATTGTGTTCACTTAGAGACAATCCAAACTTCATTGTGTCTGGGTTCAGAAGTTACTGCACCCCCCCCCTTCCCAGCCCCACACCAGATCCAGCCCCTGGAACTTGACTGGGTTAAAAAGTGAGCCCTAGGTGTTACAGGTGATTGCTAGCTGGTGACAGGCTGTGAGCTCCTGTTCCTGAGTGATTTAGCACCGCCGTGATCAGTGCTTTCAAGGGGGACACTGGGTGGTGGCTATTCCACCCAGAAGGCATGTCCCCAAGCAGCCCTGGCATTCTCTGAGGGTTTCCTGACTCTTCCCGCACTGTTTGATTTCAGGTTTGTGGGCAGGCCCGGGAGCTATGTCTACGTGTTCGATGGTTACCGCATGGAAGAGGCAAGTACAGCCACGAGTGTTTCACGCCTGACCAGTGGTTCGTAGGTGCCGCTCCCACACCCAGCCCCACTCTGTCCCGGGCACAGCCTGGCTGACGTGTGCTGCCCCTCAGAACCGCACCTGCTCTAACCGTCCTCCCTGTATCTCCCCCTTCCCGCAGTGTGCTCCAGGGGGCTGCCTCATGGAGCTCTGCACGCCGGAACCACACCTGCTCTAACCGTCCTCCCTGTCTCTCCTCCTTCCCGCAGTGTGCTCCAGGGGGCTGCCTCATGGAGCTCTGCACGCAGCTCAGCATCATCATGTTGGGGAAGCAGTTGATCCAGAACAACATCTTTGAGATCGGAGTCCCGTATGTAATGACCTCTCTGTGTGTCTCTCCTTGCTGCCAGGGGCTACCCCAGAAGTGCCAGGTTCTCAGCAGGATTTCCACGGCCTCTCCTCTTCTCAGAGAGCTTGGTTATTCACTCCTCTGTCCTTGTGCCTATAACTTTCCCTATAGGGCACAGTGCCTCCCTCCAGCCTTATTTGCCAATCTGATTTGGAATGTTTGAGGCTCGGAAAGATTTGCCACTTGCTTAAGTACATATAACTAGTAAGTGGCAGAGCTAGGCGTTAGATCTCTTGGACCCCAAAATGCATATGATTTTTAATGCACTTGTCCTCCCAGTGAATAAGCAAAAGAGACTTTAAGTATGATGGACAGGTGAATATGGATGTTTGAAACATAATGAAGTCATTTAGGAAAATCTCTGAGAAGAGAGCATGGGATATATAACCTTAGGAGGGGAAGGGTGAATAGCTGTGAAACAGCATGGGTTGTTTTCACGTGGATTCTCTCTCCCCTCCCCCATGGTTTTATGCAGATTTTATAGAAGGACTTCTTTCAATCAGGTTTTGCATTGAGGAGTCATGAAAATAAACGCTGACTCACAGGTACTAGGCCTAAAAGAAAAGAGGATGGAAAAAGTTAAAATCTCCATACAGGTCAAGGAAAAATGCACCCCTGCTGCCTTTCCTTTCTATTACTTTGTAGTCTTAAAGAAGAATCTGTTTCATGAGGTGTTTTCAGCCAGCCCAGCATCAGAGAGCCAGGGAGCGACAGAAGTGACGGGGGTAACTCTAATAGGCTGAGCCAGTTCTAAGGACAGGATGGACATTTTTTCCCAGAACTGTAGTTCTTTGCAAACCACTTGCAAGACTGCCCATTCTGGGATGCAGTCATCAGACAGTCCCCTTAGGGTTAGTGAAGATTCTTTGACACATTCTGTCTCCTCTTAGAGATTTACTATGCACATTATATTAATGGTTCTGAGAAGTCTTCCAATAAAGAAACTTGTTTAATCCCTCTCTTTCCAACTGTATTTGTTCATGTTTTCTCCAGGGTTCTTAGTTGCAGCCACTGGAATTCACGCTGGCTAGTTCAAGCAGCAGTGGAATTTATTTAAGAATAAAGTGGCAAACAGAACATTCTTTAAGGGCCAGCGAGCTAGGCTTTGAGCTGAGTTACCAGGAATATCACTGTCCACACTGCCAGAGGGCTTGCAGGGAATGCCACTGCCTCTACCTCATGGCTCCTATGGTTAAGATATTTAAAAGATATGTGTGAAATGGCCCTTGTCTTCTCAGAGCTTAGATTATTCGTTTGGGAGACAAAATAGACTGCATGTAACTGGGTGCTCTCTGACAGAGTCATGCAAGCTCTATCAGAATTTAGAGTTAGTAAAGGTCAGGAATTTTGGAACAGTCAAAGAAGGCTTCAGAAGCATTGGGGTTTCTTCCAGGGTGCGCTTGTGTCTCAGAAGAAGGTTGTCACCATCGTGTATTACAGGATGGTCTGCCGTTATCGTCTTTAAAGAAACAGTTTCCCTTGGGTACACATGTCTCTTCTAAATAAACAACAAACCAAATGTGGGCTTATCACAAACACTTCATGACCCTGGTGGTGCCACAGGTGGAGGAGGTAAGGCTCAGAGAGATGGCAGTCCCCTGCCCCAGGTCGTGGGGCATGTCAGGGACATGGCAAGGGCAAGGTCCCCAAGTCCCTCTAACTCTGTCTAAAGATCACAGACTCCTAGGTTCCCTGGACTGAATAGAACCATTAGAGGATGTATGGTCCAGTCCCTTCTCCATGTAAAATTGTACCAGAGCCATCTGCCTCCTTGGGGGCCTGTGAGTATCCGAAAGGTCCCCAGAGAAAGCTATTCTTTGGTCTTCCTCAGAAATGCATCTATAGAGCTGAAGTTATAATGGGGAGAACTTAGTTTACCTGGAAAGGATGTCTTTTTTAATGAGATGCCCACTGTGAGGAATGAGCGTCCTCAACATAACCTCGTGACACTGTCAGCCCAGTCCTTAGAGGGGTCTCACCATTAATTAGGCTGAACACTTGGGGTGTTTTCTTGTACACTGGGACCACCTCAGATGACACTTGGGCGTGTGCTTTTCTTGGAGGGGGACTGGCAGGAACATTGGTGTCTGGGTGCCTCATTCCATCTCCCTGCTTAAACCAGCCTCTAGTCACCAGTCAGAAAATCATCCGTCTCAAGAAACTCAGCACTCTGAAGCTTTGCCCTGGTCCATACTTTCTCACTGAAAGTCTCTCAGTGATAGTCAAGCAAAGCTGGTGGAACAGATGGCGGTGTTTTCTAGGAGCTTACCCTCTTAGACAACATTCGTTATGGACAAACATCCTGATAATATGCAGATGGGACAAAGCCACATGTGGCCCCTTCGAAGCTGTGAGACCAGCCCTTCCACATGTGCAGTGGGGAAGTCTTCATTCCCCTCAAACGTCTGGGGAAGGCACCTGCCCTTCCAGTACATGGTTCTTCTGCTCGGGGTAGAATTGTATATGGCTCGTGGGCACGAGATGCCAATTTTTTCATCCCTGAACATCTGCTCTACCACTTAGCCCATCTCTCTGGACCCAGAGGACTTTCATAGTGTGTAAGAGAAGCAAGAACAGTGTGATGCCATGTTCCCCACCCATCTACTGCATCAGCTCCATAACACATGAAAATGACACATGCCAGTTTGCCTTGGAGGCTAAATTTTCTTGTTTATGCTTGACGTATGTTTAATACTTTGTGTGTTTAAAAATGTGCCATGCTTTAATCAATGGCAATTGAATAGCAACTCACAAAGCCATGACAAATCACTTCTCAAAGTCTCGCTGTCCTCATCGGATGAATGCAATGGCGATATAATCATCTCTAAGGTGCCTTTTAGCTCTGACCCTCCAGGGACCTCTCCTCTATTTAGTGAAGCTGGTCACTGCTGACTCCAAATACAAGCCACTTCTGTTTTAAAACATGTTTTCTCATTTCAGTTTCTGATATGCTTAAAGGATACACACAGTGTAATTACGTAGTTAAATTCAGTAATGTGGAGCAAAACTTCTACCAAATCCTAGGGTCTTTTATCTCCAAAGTTCTTTATAGTTCTACCAGCTGTATTTTGAGGTTTGGTCACATAAAATCACTATGAATACGATTATTGGATCTTCCACTCCCTACTCAGAATCTGCTCTCAATAAATTATACCCCTCCAATCTAGAGTGCAAACACCTGGCAATATCCTTACGTATGACACTTTTTGAGAAACACAAAATAAGCAAGGAGAAAAGGTCTTTCATGTCAAAAGAGAAATGACAGTTGAGTCTGACAGTGAGGAAGGAGTCATGCAAATTATAAAAATTAGATCCAGTGGCCCTCAACACATCTCTGTAGCATAGAGATTTAGTGACCCAAAAGATCTGGGTTTAAATCTAGGCTTTGCAATATACTTACTGTGTGATGCTGGGAAAGTTATTTTAGAAAGATTTCCATCTCATATGTCAAAAAATAGCTTTGATAAATGCTCAGCTATCTAGACAATGAAAAATATGGACATCTGAGAAAGGAAGACCCATTCCTGAGGGTTCTAGGCAGCCAAGATTGTACTGTTTATCATTAGCTTTTAGGGAATGAGACTGGAAAGATGAACTCAGGAGCAGTGTTTTTCTCCTCTGCTCTGGGCTCAATGGCTTTTCTTTTGCAGTATATCTCTTATTTACCTTGAGAGCCTACATAAATTTCTTTCCCAAAGGGAGATAAGTATTAATCTTAAAGGCCAGATTTGATTTTTAAAATTAGAAGCAAGTCTGAGGAGTAATTGGTGATTGTGCAGATAAGCTTTTTTGGAGCAAAGCATAGGATAAGAATATACATTCGTAAAGTTTATTGTTTTTAGTTCATTATCTACTTCAGAAAGAAATTTTCTAAGATTCTTCCAAGGAAAAATTTTAAATGTTAAATTGGTCTTTATTAGTAGGCCAGGTAGTCAGCTGTAATTTACCTCTCTCCCTGAGGGTGCAACATTCTTATTAGACTGTGTGTGTGTGCATTGAAAAAAGTAACACAACACAATTTTGATGGCCTTGAGAATCTTCCAATGTAGCATTTTTCTTGAATTAGAACAGTTTCCCAATCTTCAGTCATTTATCAGCTAACCTTACAATTTTCCCTCATATCTACCCAAACAGCTATTTGCATGTTAGTTTCTTCTGAACCAAGTCACTTCCTATTTAAACTTATAACATTTCGGAAAATGAAAAACTAACACTATCAGTTACCACGAATAGCAAATAACAGTGAAAAGAAATACAACAAAAACAAAACATTATTGAACAATCAATGACGTTATTTCTGACCCAAGGCTCTTAGGTAAGATCCGCGTTCTCTCTGTTAAAAAGGAAGATGCGCTTGCATTGGGAGTGGTTGTAGGCATACCAGTAGCAGCCTGGGGCTTGCTCTTTGACTATAATCTGCAGAGGGGCTGATGGGAACGGAGAAAGAAATGACTCTTTCCCCAGGTGCTCTAATGGGATTGTAAGGCCAAGTGGAGAGACCTTCTAAAGGTGTCACCTAAACTGCTACCTCTACATCTGGCAGGAACCCCAGACAGGACCACTGTGGAAGCCCTGCTGTCCATCCAGGCATCTTCCACCAGCAGCAACATTCTTCAGACCCTGGAGAGGGAAAAACGAGATGCTTCAAAGGGAGGCAGTAGAAACGGGTATAGTAAGCACTTTAAGGCAGCTCTGTGACTCATGGCGTGATAATAGATAAAACTTGGTTGCGTGCATGAAACTTGTACTATCCCTACTCATGCAACCCCAGGCTTCTGGGGCCTGACACAGTTGTGACAGATGCTTTCCAGAGAGGAGCCAGATGATTTTACACATCATGGGCCCCAGAATAATGCTCACAGGCATCTCCTTCTGAGATGACTTCAGCCATGGTGAGCAGCATGGCAGAATCTGATCTTGTGCTATGTATTCTCTGAGTCTACTGATGGGGATTTCCCTTC